TAACTTAGATTGGGCGACTGTCCTTTGCCCTTTCCCCGGTTTCATCTCAAAGACTCTGAAATAGCCCCAAGGAAATTGGCGAGGTGGGGGGCTACACTGTCTGGCAGAAGCAGGAGCCTCCTGGTACAGATCCGTTCCCGGCAGGAGCCAGCACAGGGGGCCCCGGGCTGGAGTCTCAGGCTGGAACAGCTGCAGGCCAAGCAACTTCACAAAGTCAGGATGGCTCTTGTTTTGCTTGTGATAGACCCTCTCATCTTCTCCTAAATGTCTCAAGGGCCTCAAAGCACAAGGATAAAGCCTAGTGTCTGCAAAGCCCCTGGCTGGACAGCCAGACTCCCCTGTGCTCTGATGGGACTGTCTGCTGAGCCATCATGTTCCTTCCTGCCCCCACCCTGGACTCTGCAGGAGCCAGTCCTCTCCTGCCTCCTGTTCTCCCACATCCTGCAGCACCTTCCTTCTCAGCTTACCCAGCCTTCAGAATCCACATGAACTTGAGCCCCTTCCAAAAGCGCCCGTCTTTCCTGGCCTATGGCTCATCCCTTCCTCGGCTGCTCTGAACCCTTGTGTCTGAGCTGTTGAGCCAGCACTGGGCTTCAGGCTGGCTTCAGACTCCTCTTATGTTAATATTCTCATCTAAGGGTGATGTCTTATCCCCTCAGCCAGGTTGAAAGCTCTTTCAGGAGATGGACCTGGTATGATGCTGCACACATATCACGATCAATAGTTCAGGAATAAATACATGTTAGCGTGTCTGTGTTTGTCCCCCCGGCTCTGGAGAGTGTGGGAGCCAGTGACCAAGAGGGCAGCCTCCCACCTAACAAAGAGGCACACTCCTCTTTGTTAATGAGCAAGTTAACGAGCCTATTCATGTGAATAGTATCTTTTATGTTATATACAGTTTATGCATATATATGTGTTCTATACATGTTATAACTTTCTTTTTTTTTTTGCCAATCAGTTTGAGCTTAATGAGGTTGCTCAGGTTAGCCTTGAACTGATGACCTCGCCTTCGTGAGCGCCATGACCTCCGGCGGGAGTACATGTTATAACTTTCTATGACAAAAGTGGAGATGAAATTCACGTGGGTGGAACCCGTTTTCATCCTAAGATTGAAAAACAAAAATCAAAAAACTCAGAATAAAGTTTGTTTTTCAATCACCTATTAAATGGAAAATGGTAATTTTCTGAGAAAGCATCTCATTATGGGGGACTTGGGGGAATGGAGAGGTGCAGAGCAAAGGCCCCAAAGCCACAGATATGTGGGGTGAGAAGGTCTAGAGATCCCAGGCCCAGCGTGAGCCCTGTAGTGGCAACATTGCATTAGATCCAGGAAATGTGCTCACAGAGGAGACTTTTGATGCTCCCATCACACGGGCCCTCATGCACACACACATGCACACAAAGCATAACTGTAGGAGGGGATGATAAGTTAATTTGCTTGATAATCATAACTATCTCACAGTGCATATGAAAACATCATGTTGTACAGCTTAAATACAATAAAAAGCATCTGATTACCCAAAGTAAGTCACAGAGAATAAACGCTGTGGTAGCCTAAAATACCCCAGCCATAGTGACTTTTGTAGGGAGCTGTACCCACGAGGGGAGAAGGTGCACTTCTCTGAGCCCCTCACAGGCCCACACCAGCTTCTGGAAACGCCACTGCTGATTCCCATCAGTCATGGAGTTTGCAGCCCCAGGCAGGATCATCGCTGGAGCTGACGTGCTAATTTCTGAAAAGCCAATTTCTTTTCTGTAGGATGTTCATTTGTCAATCTCAGGAGTTCCTATATATGAAGAAATGAGGACACAGCATGGAACCCTGCTTGCCTGAAGCTTTGTTTTGTTGTTTTCATCCTGGCTCCAACCCCAGGCGGCCCTCATCTCTTCAGGAGAGGCACACTGGCCGAGTCAGCCTGGTGTGCTGAGTGGACACAGGTGTGTGGGAAGGGCTCCAGGTGGGGACTGTCCCATGTGTAGGAGAGGAATCCAAGGACAGGGAGAGGCCGGGTGGGCAGCAGAGGAACAGCCAGTAGGATGCAAAGCAGGAAGTGGAGCTTCCTCTTCCCATTGTCACCTGGATCCTCCTCCTCTGTGTGGGGATCCACAGTCACATCTCCTGGAGCCAGCTGGTGGCCAGCCCTGAATACAGGAGCCTGTGGCAGGAGGAGCCTCTTGGGGCCCCCAGGGGAAGCCACACACACAAGGCCCCAACTCAGCTCTCTCCCAGACTCTCTCCCCAGTTTCTTGGAGAACGCAAATTGATGGAAAATATCTGAAGAGTTATCTTAAGTTGTACAAGTTGTGCCATTCTCCCAGAGAAACCTCTTTCCTCTACACTCTGAAGGCACTTAGAGCCTATACCAGTTAGCACTAAATTATTATTATTATTATTATTATTATTATTATTTGAGACGGAGTTTCGCTCTTGTTACCCAGGCTGGAGTGCAATGGCCCGATCTCGGCTCACTGCAACCTCCGCCCCCTGGGTTCAGGCAATTCTCCTGCCTCAGCCTCCTGAGTAGCTGGGATTACAGGCACGCGCCACCGTGCCCAGCTAATTTTTTGTAATTTTTAGTAGAGACGGGGTTTCACCATGTTGACCAGGATGGTCTCGATCTGCCGACCTCGTGATCCACCCGCCTCGGCCTCCCAAAGTGCTGGGATTACAGGCTTGAGCCACCGCGCCCGGCCAATTATTTTTTTTCTTGGCTCATTTATTATTGTTTCTTCACAATTTCGTCTCTCCAACTCAAGCCCAACTTCCCAGAGGGCAGAAGATGGCACAATTCTAGTACCATTTTTCCCCACCATCCCCTATATCTAGTATAGCTTAAATATATGAAATATATAATTTAATAAAAATGAGCTGAAAATACATATATCATGACATCCTATCCCAAATATATAATGTTGTCAATATGCGCAGGTATAATAAAGAACCTGGGTGTGGACAGGCTTGTTTTGAAAAGCAGGAAAACCTCAAGCAAAAGTGGCTACTAGCACATGTGGGCTGAAGAACGCTCCAGGCTGTGGCCTGGCCTCTATGACCAACCCTTGAGGAGCCATTTGCACTGGGTGGGATCAGGGTACATTGCCCAGAATATCGTGGGTGATGGTCCTGGGAACAAACGTGTCTCGGGAGAAATCCAATTCCGAGTTCTACATGCGAGTGCCTCCAGGTGCCTGCATCACAGTTACGCAGGGGCTGCTCCCCTTAAGGCGGAGTGGGGTGTTCAGATGACTAGAGGCAGCCAGGGACACGATTCTGGACTTAGGGTTGGGGGTGGCCCCATTTTCCCTCTTTGGTAGAAGTCAACCCTCCAGGACATCTGAACTGTACCAGCGTCTGCCATAAGGGCCATAACAGCGACAGCTGAGACTGGTCCCTGGCAGAAGCCAAGAACCCTGTAAGATCAGAGAAATGCCAGAGAACCTGACCATGGAAACACTTTTGTCCATTCTGGCAGTAACGAACACTCTCCCTCCCTTGATACCAACGGGAATAAGGAGAAATCTTAGGCTCGGTGGCTCACATCTGTAATCCCAGCACTTTGGGAGGCTGAGGTGAGCGGATGGCTTGAGCCCAGGAATTGGAGGCCAGCCTGGGCAACATAATGATAGCTCTTCTCTACCAAAAACCCCCATCAAAATTAGCTGTGCCTGTAGTCCCAGCCACTCAGGAGGCTGAGGTGGGAGAATGGCTTGAGCTCAGGAGGCGGAAGTTGTCACGAGCTGTAATCACACTCCACTCCATCCTGGGCAACAGAGCAGGACATGTTAAAAAAAATCTTCTCCAAGGATCAGGGAGGGTGCCATCAGTTAGTAATTTCTAAAGCTGTGTCATCATCTCTTCTTAGCCCAGTCCTCCCCAACTTCCCACTCTCCTACCCCCCAGTCAAATTCCTAGGATCTGAGTTTGTTCTTGGAGCTTGAACTGGCCTTGAGCTCAGAGACACCTCTCTGGGCACCTTGCTTCTCCATTCTACATCTGTCCCAGTAATTGGAGCAGGGGCTGGAACAGCTGAAGGTGAGCAGCACCCACCTGTTCCCAAAAAGCCCTTAGCTTGGATTATCAGCAGACAGTGGAACATCAGTTTCATGCACGTTTTATATTTCCTCACCCCATCTGCAAATCTTTCCTTTGAAGAGCATTCCAAGAATGCAATGCAGAGCTCCGCAGAGACACACTGTTGTTGGGGTTTGGATTCGAATTTAATGTTCCCTCCAACGCTACAGAATCCATGATGTGTATCTCTACACAGATGTCACTAGGAGTCTTCCTGTCCTTTATCATTTAAGAAACGACTCATTGGTGTCATCCTTGCTTCACAGAGGGAGGAACCCAGGCTTCACATTCTGTACTTTTGGAAAGGAAGAAGAAGGGAGAGGCGGGGAAAGACCTGTGCATGCAACACTACGGAGACAGATCTCCAGCCCCGTCTAACCAACAGCCTCCCTCCTGCGCACCTGCAGCCTGGGGACCCAGGTTCCTGGGGTCTCACGGACCCTACCCCTCCCATTTCTCCTCCCCACTCCCTCTCCAAATTGTTTCAGAATTCCAGATTCTTACTGGATCCTGCAAAGTAATTCAGCTACTCTTCAGAGTCTCAGTTATTCCCAAATTCTCTCGGAGACTTGAATTTACCCATCTAAATCCATTCTCAAGAACACACTCGCCTTTTCTAGCCGGGATGTCTCCAACAGTAGTTGCTGTGAGAAACTGCAATTTCCCCCTCTCTGCTTACACATTTTTATAAATGGATTTATTGGTAGGCAAATTACATTTAAAAAAAAAAAAAAAGAAGAAGCTTGTGTGGGTTTTCAGGGAAGCTTGGACAGTTCGTGGGCGCGCCAGGAGCTCGCCGGAGTAGCGGGTCTGGCTCTGGGCGCCGAGCCCGCACCCGGGCTGCAGTCACCTGGAAGCCGGACCCTCCCCTGCAGACTCCGCACCCTGGCGTTCTGCTCCTGAGGGAAAACGGGGTTTCCAGGGGGGTCCCCAACCCAGGGCTCTTGGACCCGTAGCTGCGGGTCCCCAGCCCCGCCCGAGCGCCTGCGGGTTTCCCGCCCTCCGAGGCGTCCGCTGGCCTGAGCCCTGGCGGGGACGTGGGCGGGGCGGGCGGCATTTAAAGCGAGTGCCGCCTCCTAGGGGCAGCGGCTGGCGATCGGCCGCGGAGGTGCGTGCAGGGTCTGCGCCGCCGCTGGTATCTCCACCGCCAACACCTCAGCCACCACCACCGCCACCGTCACCTCCACACGCTGAGCCCCGCGCCCCGACGCCGCGCGCCGGGATCCGCGCTCCAAGCCCGCAGCCGGCGGCGCCACCAGCCCAGCATGCGCCAGGTGCGTGCAGCCCCCGCGTCCGCCGCGGACTCGAGACACCCGGCCGAGGCCCCCCGGGACCGGAGCGAGCTGGCTGGAAGCGAGGGAAAGGCGAAAAGAAATGCCCCGAGCTGGGGAAAGGAGAGGCCGCCTTTCCTCTGGGCGCCCCCCAGCCTGGACAAAGTTTCTCTGCCTCCCGGCCACGGCCCCCTGCAGCCTCTGGGGCTGGCTGGGAAAGAAGCCAGTCCGGATGTGCGAGGGCGGGCCCAGCGGTCCTAGGCCTGCTCCATAGCACCTGCGGGCTCCCACTCGGAGGATGGGGTGACAGGGATGCTTTGCGGTCTGAAAAGTTAGGGGAGGAAAGGGAGAGGGGGCTCCTGACTCCTCCAGTCTGAGAGTCCTAAGCTTAGAGGGTATCCTCTCTCCAAGAAACAGGACTGACTGCACCTGTACCTTGGAAGGGGTTCTAAGGAAACCTCGCAGCTCCTCGAAGGCATCAGTGAGGAGTGTGTGTTGGGGGTAACTTCCCACCTGCTCCACCCAGAGAAGGGTCACCCTGAGGAGCTGCTGGCTGCCTGTGCCCACTTCGCCTCCCCTCTACATGGGCGGAGAGGAAGCCACGGTCGGCAGGAGATGGGGGAGAGTCTCCAGGATCCGACTCCCTCCCGCCTCCCCAGAGGAGGAAAGGAAAGGGAGAAGGGGCTCCCGACCCCCGAAGGTCCTGACCCCGCAGAGGGGCGCTCAGCACCTTTTCGCAAACCCCATTTGGGGCCAATATTGCACCTGGGCTTCTCTTTCAGAAAAGGTCAGAAATTTATTCCGTGGAGCTCAGCGGAACTAAGGACATCGTGAGAACAGACCAGGGGGATGACAAGGAGAAGTACAGAGGTCTGAAGAACAACTGCCTGGAACGCAAAAAGAAGAATCAAGAAGAAGACTTCCAGAAAGAACTCCAGCTGGTCAGTAGCCTTAAGCCACAGGGGTCCTGCGGGCTATTGCCCTTCCCCGCAAGAGCTTGCCCCAGAACCCGCCTCCTCCCAGGGACACTCAGTCTCAGGGATTTGAAATTCCCTTGAGGTTGGTTTCCTTGTGTGTGGTGGTGGTGTGTGTGTGTGTTGTGTGTGTATGTAATGTGTGTGTGGTGTGTGAGGTGTGTGTGTGTGGTGTGTGTATGTGTGTGGTGTGTGTGGTGTGTGGTGTGTGTGGTGTATGTGTTTGGTGTGTGTGGTGTGTGAGGTATGTATGTGTGGTGGTGTGTGTGTGGTGTATGTCTGTGTGTGGTGTGTGTGGTGTATGTCTGTGTGTGGTGTGTGTATGTGTGGTGGGTGTGCGTGGTATGGTGCGTGTATGTGTGTGGTATGTGTATATGTACATGGTATGTGTGTATGGTGTGTGTGGTGGTTTGTGTGTGTGTGTGGTGTGTGTGGGGTATGGTATGTCTATGTGTGTGGTGTGTGTATATGTGTGTGGTATGTGTGTATGGTGTGTGTATGTGTGATGGGTGTGTGGTGTTGTTTGTGTGTGTGTGGTGTGTTGTGTATGTGGTATGGTGTATGTGTGTGGTGTATTTGTGCGTTGTATGTTTGTATGGTGTGTGGGGTGTGTGTGTATGTGTGGTGGGTGTGTGTGGTGGTGTATGTGTATGTGTGTGGTATGTTGTGGTGTGTGTGTGGTGTGTTGTGGTGTGTGTGTGTGTGGCATGTGTGTGGTATATGTGTATATGTGGGGAGTGTGTTTTGAATGGTGTGATAGTATCTGCCCAAAGGTCAGGGCCTCTGCAGGATGCCTGCATTCTAGTTGGAAGCAGTCTTTCTAGAAATCAGAAGGGAGAGCCTCTGATTCCAGGCCCCACAGGCTTGGCCAGACCTCTCTTTCCATCAAATGCCTCAGTGAGAGGTAAGTAACCACTTGCCAGTTTTCAGTTGATTAGTAAAACTGTTTGAGCTGTAACTTCTAAGGAGGAAAATCAAAGCCCCTAGGCCATGCTAGATTGCAGGTGTGAAACTGCCTGGAAGAGCACAGTTTCAGTGGTAAAAATGTGGACCTTGGATTGGGAGGACCTCAGCCTCCATCAGAGTCCCACTTCTCCTCTAAGCTAAAACTGGAAACAAATGACTGAACCTCACTGAAGATCCATTTTCTTTATGTATAATGGGAAATAAATAATTTGCTGGGGTCTATGAGGGAAAAAATGAGATGAGGATTTTGTAATTCAGGTGTTTTAGGGGAGTGCAATATTATTATTTATTTATCTATTTTTTTGAGTAAGTGTCTCACTGTGTGTACACCTCCTGGGTGTAAACGATTCTCCTGCCTCAGCCTCCTGAGTAGCTGGGATTACAGGTGTGAGCCACCGTACCTGGCTAATATTTGTATTTTTATTAGAGATGAGTTTTCACCATGTTGGCCAGGGTGGTCTCGGACTCCTGACCTCAGGTGATCCACCTGCCTCAGCCTCCCAAAGTGCTGGCACTACAGGCATGACCCACCTCGCCCAGCCAATATTTTTATTATTATTAAAGAAGAGGCTTGGAGTTATGAAAACTGGACACTTTAATAAAAAAACTGCCTTAGGTCTGAAATGTGACAGATTTTTATCTTGGGAACACTGAAGGGGAAACTTCTCCGCTGCGCTTGAGTTGTGCTGGGTTGTCCCCACGGTCCCTGGCAGACTTAAAGCTCTCTGACTGCTGAGCCTATGACAGTACTGAGGGAGCCTGCTCTTTCGAGCTAGAGAGCCAGTTGTTGGGTATTCAGAAACTTGGCATGCTGATTGACATCCTGTTAGCAGCTTGAAATTTGGTTCTAGTGAGAAATTGGCAAACTCTACAAATCCGAGCTTTTTATTTATCTTTCCTGGAGAGTTTGTTAAACATTTAACAGCACACCACTGGGCATTTGTCCACGTCTATCATGATAGATATGTAAGAACACATCCCTGAAATTGGACTAACCTCAGTTCAAATCCCAGTGTAACTGAAGTTCAGTTTTCTATTTTGAAAAAATAAGAATTTTTTTCTACCTCTCAGGGTTACTAGGAGAATTAAATGAGACAAAACGGGAAAAAGACAGCCGGCACCAGACAGTAGATAGTTCTTATTATTTCCCACTATCTCTAGCATTGAGATTGAAGACATACCTATTTTTCCTTGACATTACAAACTCCAGTAATTTCAGTGGCATACTTGAATGCTTTTGCCTCCCAATCTTTCTTGGCACATTAGTGCCTAATGACAACTGAAGTACCTCGGCTTTTGAATAAAAGGGCCTGGAAATGACTGGAGGGGTGGGTGGGGTGCTGCCCTGTGCTAGTCCAGTGCTGGCCAGCAGAGGGCACCCCAGACCCCACCACCACCTGCCCCAACCCTCCCGCATGCTCTCATCCGCAAGCCCAGGGTAAAGGGACAGGAAAGATCCTCTGCTCACTGCAAGGCCTTTAAAGTCTGAGGTCCATGCATGCAAACAATAGCTCGGATCATCCACTGCTTGTATCTGCCCAAAACTTAGCGCACAGTGCTGTGCTCTGTGCAGAACATTGCCTTAATCTTCTGAATCCCCAGCAATATCACCCTGAATAGATATTAGTGGAATGGATGAAGGAGCAAAGCAAAATCTGGCTGAGAAGAGGGCTAGAAGCAAGATAATAATGATAATAACAAATTCTGTTTTATTGGAAGGCCTAGACTCTAACTGCAACTTGGAACGATTTTTTGCATATACTTAAGAAAAGAGATGGTGTGAGCATCAGTCAACAGTATCAATCTCTGTTTCAGACAACTGGGGTTTAAAAATCCTGAGTACTGATGGGGTGTGGTGGCTCACACCTATAATCCCAGCACTTTGGGAAGCCGAGGTGGGCAGATCACCTGAGGTCGGGAGTTTGAGACCAGCCTGACTAACATGGGGAAACCCCATCTCTACTAAAAATACAAAATTAGCCAGGTGTGGTGGCACATGCCTGTAATCCCAGCTACTCAGGAGGCTGAGGCAGGAGAACCGCTTGAACTTGGGAGGTGGATGTTGCAGTGAGCTGAGATCGTGCCATTGCACTCCAGCCTGGGCAATAAGAGCAAAACTCCATCTCAAAAAAGAAAAAAAAAATCCTGAATGCCAGGGCTTTCTAGGTGGATCGAGGAAGACTTACCCTAGGTTTTCTGCTACAGGAAGAGGCTTCTAGACCTTTAGCCCAGTGGTTCTCAAAGAGAGAGGAGAGGAGGATCCCCCACCCCTCACCCAGGGGAACATTTTTTGTTGCCACAACTGAGGGGAGGATGCTAGTGGGTGGAGTCCACAACAAAGAATTATTCTACCAAAATGGCAGCAGGGCCACCTGCGACAAACCCTGTTGCAGTCTAATGATTCTGAAGCAGAATTCACAGTGGGGGCCACAGTGATGTCTGTTTATTCAGCAGGACTCTTACCTGTAGGGTTTCTCCGGCCAGTGAGCTCCCGGAGGGTCACAGCTTGAGTGAGGGAAGTGCTTTTCCCTGTCAGAGCACATGTAGTAAAGGAGGAGGAATTGTGCCAGCCCAGGATCAGGTCTAGCATGGTTTTGCCATCATCTCCACCCAATCCCAGGGTTCAGGCCTGAGGGAAGCCTCCAGCTCACTGGCACCTGGACGACGAGGGTTCCAGGACCTGAATGTGCTGGAGTTCTGAAGTGAGGGGCACGGCTTTGTTCAGAAAAGCTCCAGGCAGCTCCTGGGTAGTAACGGCAAGTGCAGGATTGTGCTAACTCAGGGACAGTCACTCCTGAGACAGTGCCATTCTTCTCTGGGCAGCCACCTGACACCGGGAGATGAGGGGCTGTCTCCCATCCTCCACACTCCTTGGTACCCTCCCATCCTCTGGGCTGCTATTGTCAGCTTCCATGGCTGGTCAAAGGTTGGGGCTTGAGTCTTTTGGAATGATCTAATTCACTCTGTTCTTTGTTCTTTTCATGGACTTCAGGATGACCACAAACTCAATAACAGGGAATTGGAAAAGAAATATGGCACAAACATCATTATGGTGAGTCATGGGAACCAGGGATTCAGAAGAGAGGCATCCTGAGTACAGAGGGAAGGCTGTGTTTTGGGGGTGTGGAGGGGGGGAGAGTAGATGGCACCTTTAAGAGGAGGGGCCCCTGCAGCACCTTTGAGGTTACAGTTATTTGCATCTGGATGCTGTTCAAGGCAACAGAAATACCTACTGTGGGGCTCACACTGCACTGGCAGTGAGAGGGACCCAGAGGGACAGTTGGCCCCTGGCCTCAAGGAGAAAGTGGCCAGGTGGGAAGGCAGATATGTAGGGGGGTGTCCTGAGATCCATCCTATGCCACTGGGATGGCCACAAGAGGTAGAAACGCTCTGCTGGGAAATGGTGGATTCTGACTGAAGGGGCCAGAGCCAGCACTCGGGCTGCTGCCATGTTTGCGCTGGGACTCAGGATGATTCGGATTTAAGCTTGTAAGGCTCTAGGGCCCTGCAGGATCATGTGGTGTCCCTTATACTGTGCTGAAGTGCAGGATCCAAGAGGTAAAGAGACAGAACATGGAAGAACTGGTGAAGAGCATCTGATCTTGGAGGGCCATGCAACCTATGAGTGGAGATCAGCAGAGGCCCCCAATGCCCAGAAGTATCTGTATTTATTAGGTACAAGCAGGGGGCAGGGTCATAAGTGAGATCATCATCTAAAGGCTCAGTAATAGGGCATCCATAATCATGTGAGTCACAAGCGAGGGGGCCACCTCATTATGTCACCTGGGCAGAGAGGTGGGCCGTGTGCAGTAGGGGGTCGTGACGTGTGAAGTAGTACAGGGTCGTGTACAGAAAAGGGGTCCACCCCCATTAGGTCACCGAGGCAAGGAGGTGGGCTGTGTTCAACAGGTGTCGTGTGCAACACTTCTTATCTGGGAGCTGGAGACTTCAAAGGATTTCTAAGGCCAGGCGCAGTGGCTCACGCCTGTAATCCCAGCACTTTGGGAGGCCAAGGCAGGTGGATCACAAGGTCAAGAGACAGAGACCATCCTGGCCAACATGGTGAAACCCCATCTCTACTAAAAAAAACCCAAAAATTAGCTGGGCATGGTGGCATGCGCCTGTAGTCCCAGCTATTTGGGAGGCTGAGGCAGGAGAATTGCTTGAACCCGGGAGGCGGAGGTTGCAGTGAGCCGAGATCGCTCCAGTGCACTCCAGCCTGGCGCCTGGCAACAGAAAGAGACTCTGTCTCAAAATAAATAAATAATAAAAAATAAAAAGGATTTCTAATAGATGGATACTGTAAGCCAATGCAGTGGGAGCTGACAGACTTGTGCTCTTCTCTTAAGATATTTATGGGAGGTTGATTTGAGCTAGAACAGAAGCAAGAAAACCCTGACAGGTTGTACAGCCGCCATGACTGGTCACACCAGAGGGGTTCTTCTCCCTTGGTTATTTGCAGGATCTCAGGCCTGAGGCCTACTTTCCACAGGAGCTGGATGCAAGGTACTACAACTCCTTTATCAGGAGGAGAGGCTCTTGCTCCAAGCCTTCCACACAGAGTATGCCCTTTCAGGCAGGGACTCCACCACCTGGGTCTTTGGTTCTTGTCCTGGTCTGGCTGTTTTCCCATATACTGCTTCTATTCTGTGACTACTCTAGGCATTCCTCCTACTACAAAATACTGTATGGTTATATAAAAGGATTCTAGAAATCAGCACTAAATGTGTCAGTAGAGCTCCGACTACAATACCTGTATGAGTATATAGAAAGATTATACGGAACTAAGTATGATTATATATACATAAGCTAGATATAAGTCAGCAGTGAGTTATACTTCAGGCACTAATTGTGCCTGGGGTCTGCATAGTTCTCCTTCCTGGGTGCCCATGGAGGGTGTTACCCACAAAGCTGCTGGGGACCCTGGGGCCAGCAAGCACAGAGCGGGCTGGGAGACAATCTGGGCTTGGCGGAAGCTAGTCTGTGTGGAGAGAAGACAGGTGCGGCAGAATGAAGCCAGGAAGGTCACCTGGGTGAAGCTGTCAAGGGTATGCACATTAAACTGAGGAGCAGGGGCTGTCTTAGAGTCAGAGGGACGTGGTTTCTACACACGGAGGTGATTTCACTGGGTTTTCAAAAGGCAGTTCTCCTAGAAGATTCTTTTTTTAAAGTGATAAATGGAAGGGTCTAGAAGAATGGAACAATAGCCCAGGACTGTGAAATGAGGCTCTGAAACACGGTGGCCAGGAAGGTGGGAAGGAAAGGGACCAGTTAGAGACATTGCAGAGACACAACCAGCAGGACTTGGCAGGTTTTTATGGAGTTCCCCATCTTGCTCGCACATCACGGCAGCAGGAGGAGAGCTGGTCGAGTGATGGGCTGGGGTGGGAGCTGGGAGGTGAGGCAGGGAAGGCAGGAGGGAGGAGACGATGATGAATTCATTTTGCGTTAAACCAAGAGAAGTCTCTCCAGAACACCCCTGAGGAGACTTTCCAGTTATTCATAAAGATGAGTCTGAGGTTCTGGAAAAGGAATTGCAAGTGGAGGAAGACGGGATTGAGGTAGTGAGCCTGAATCGAGGCCTTCAACAGGTGTTTGAATCACTACCACAGAAAAAGCATGAGACCCAAGAGAGAACACAAAAATGACCAAGACAGGCCAGGCGTGGTGGCTCCTGCCTGCGATCCTAGAACTGTGGGAGGCCAAGGTGGGCGTATCACTTGAGGTCAGGAGTTTGAAAGCAGCCTGGCCAACATGGTGAAACCCTGTCTCTACTAAAAATATTTTAAAAACTAGCCAAGTATGGTGGCGGGTGCCTATAATCCCAGCTACTCAGGAGGCTGAGGCAGAATTTCTTGAACCTGGGGCGAGGAGGTTGCAGTGAGCCAAGATCGCACCATTATGGTCCAGCCTGGGCAACAAAGTGAGATTCTGTCTCACAAAAAAAAAAAAAAAAAAGACCAAGAAAGAGTCCGGGCCTTTCAGTAGTTTGCAACATAATTAGGGAGAAAAAAAAAGAGACATCTAAAGACTTGTCCACCAAAGACTGTGGGGGAAATTCCAGTGAACACGTAGGGTTTCAAAGGTGAGGGTGCCTCATGGATGGCAGGCCGCCCAGGGCAGGGGCTGCTCACATAGGCTCCAGGCTTGTCAAGATGAATGAGAACTTAGGCTGGTTGTGTAGAAAGGTAGAAAAGGAGCAGATGTAAGGATGGAAACTAAAGCCACATGCTCCCTATGCAGGGTTCCAGAAGCTATCCTAGTTCCTGGGGAGTTTCTACATGGCTCTTAGCCCTGATGACCAGCTTCTTCATTCCAAGTCCTCTCTTGCCAGATAAACCTCTAAGAAACTAACACCCCTTAGCAGAGCAGAGTGCAGTGGCTCCGCACCCAGCCACCACATTGAACCTGTCACTGCCATTGACATGCCAGGTCCCTCGGGCAGGTTACGTAACATCTATGTGACTCAAATTTCACCTGTGCAAATGGGAACTGATGAATAATGGCCCCTGCTTCAAGGGTTATTTTAAAGACTAAAGGAGTGAATATACAGAGCACAGGGCTTAGCTGGTATTAAGCATTATATAGGCTTTCAGAAAAGCTGGGGAGCTGGAGGAGTGAGCCCCGGTCCACTTTCTTTGGGAACGTTAATGCCTCACCCCAAGCTGCAAAAATATGCAGCCCAACCCCTGAGGGAGGAGGAATGTCTAATTCATATTTGTTTTGGTTGTGCATGTGCTTTGTTTGGCTTTCCCAGGGTCTCTCCAGCACCAGAGCTGCTGAGCTCCTGGCACGGGATGGGCCCAACTCCCTCACCCCTCCCAAGCAGACACCTGAGATTGTCAAGTTCCTCAAGCAGATGGTCGGGGGCTTCTCTATCCTCCTGTGGGTGGGCGCCTTCCTCTGCTGGATTGCATATGGGATTCAGTACTCCAGCGACAAGTCTGCGTCCCTGAACAACGTAAGGCTCTGGGGTATCCCCTACTGGTTTTGCTGGCACAGCCATTCAGTGAGACCTCTGGGGCACAGCTAGGGGCTGGTTGCCGCTGCTTAGGTGTAGGAAAGTCAGGTGTTTTCCCAGCTGTAAAACCAAATTCGATCTGGCTTTCTGATGTCCCAGAGGCAGTATGGGCATGAAGAGAGATACACAAAACACCTTAAATTTTTAAGGGGGAGGAAATCTGTTTCCATGTGAAGTAGTTTGGGGCTCTGTCGCCCCAAGCTAACCTCTCCCTTTGGCTCGGAGAGCATCTATGCTTGCCGAGACCTGGGTACCAAACCCACAAAATTGAATTGGCCAACAAGATGCTGAGAGACAGAAGCCAGAGGCAACAGGCCATATGTCATAGGATTGGATTGGCATGAAATGTGCAGAACAGGCACATCCTTGGAAACAGGAAGCAGGTCGGTGATGCCAGGGCATAGGACAGGAGCAGGGAGTGACTGCAGAGGGCCAGGGGGATCTCCAAGCAGGATGGAGATGCTCTGAGGCCACAGTGGAGGGTGGTTGCATAGCTCCGTAAACTTAAAGAAAGTCAATGAGTTGTTAACTCAATATGGGCGAATTCTGTGGCCTGTAAATTACACCAGGCATAACTGCCAGCATCGCATCCTCCCATGGAGAGCTCTGGCCCCAGGACCTGGCCCCTTCTTGCTGCCTGTTTCTCTGACTGATGCCCTCTTCTCACCCAGGTGTACTTGGGTTCTGTGCTTGTCCTGGTGGTCATTTTGACGGGGGTCTTTGCTTATTACCAAGAGGCAAAAAGCACCAACATCATGTCCAGCTTCAATAAGATGATCCCTCAGGTGAGTGGCAGCCACCGGTCCTCTGGCTCTGGTGACTCCCGGGGGAGGAAGCCCCAGCTGGGAGGTGCACTAGGCCCTGAGGGCCAAGGGTTCCCAGTTCCTTCCCTGTTGGAGCAGTCGTGGGCGAATGAACCCATCTGTCAGAACCCCAGTTCCTCCCAGGATTTTTATGGCCAAACGAGGCAGCACCCAGGGCAGTGCTGGTCAGCACACGGCACCTTCTGTTCCTGCTTCTCATTGTTTGTGGACAGTTGTTCTGGGTGCTGGGAAGGGACCTGTGGAAGGTCAGGGAGTGCTCTTTCACTGGCAGCTGAGGAGACCCGCCTGCAACTGTTTATCTGTGACCATTTTTGCTCCTGTTCCTAAGCCCCAAAACGCACCCAGCAGAGAAACCTAGTGCTTTCCTCCCCAAAAACCCTTGTCAGGTGTCCACACTGTCTCCGGCCCAGAAAGCTGTGGGCTGAAGGAGAGATTCTGGGTAGAAAAGACACCTCCTGCTGAGCTCACATCAGGAGATCATCTCGTTAAAGCTTCCCTAACCCATGCTAGATTACCAACCTCCCCTGCCTCACCTTCAGTGTTCTCCCCGGACGCCTGGCCAGGATCGCTCACCCAGAATGCTCTCCCTTTCTAGGAGGCCCAGAGTTCTGGCATGGCCAGATCTGGCCAACAGCAGACTCTTCTGTACCAAGAACATCTCCATCAGCTCAAGAAACAGTAGTTCTCAGAGGCTTAGGCCTCGGGTGAAGCAGTTTCTGTTTCATTCTTGCTATTCAGACAGCCTTAGACTACTGCCTCAATGCTGTAACCACAGGGCCAGGTGCAGGCTGCTCAACAGCATGGACTTAGCAGTGACAGTGGCCAGGAAGTCCCAAGGTCTCCATCGTGGGGTTCATTGTGGCACAGATTGGGGAGGAGGGCCCGTGTCCTTCCAGGGTCTGAGGCGTCTGTCATGGTTTTCTTCCTCAGCAAGCTCTTGTCATCCGAGATTCCGAGAAGAAGACAATCCCTGCAGAGCAGCTAGTGGTAGGGGACATTGTGGAGGTCAAAGGAGGGGACCAGATCCCCGCAGACATCAGGGTGCTGTCCTCTCAGGGGTGTCGGGTAAGTGGCAGGGGGCATCCACCCCGAGCACCATGTTCCAAACTCGCTGGCTCTGCTGCCTTTCCCGGCGTCAGTATAAGAGGCAGGGAATGAGGTACATAGCTTTGAACCACTTTCAACCTTTCTTCTAGGTGGATAACTCATCTCTCACAGGGGAGTCTGAGCCCCAGCCCCGCTCCTCTGAGTTTACCCATGAAAACCCCCTGGAAACAAAGAACATCTGCTTCTATTCTACAACCTGCCTGGAAGGTAAGCTCACTGGCTCTCAGGCCACATGTCCAACCTGTGTCCCTTCTCCCTCCTGGGCTCTCAAGTCTGTCCTTTACCACACCTTGTTACAAAGCTCATCCCAGAGGAAGCGTGAAACTGAAGGGCATAGAGGACAATGCTTGACCTTGGTCATGTTGTGTGCCTATTGATCATGCCAGCCCCCAGAGAGGGCTGCAAGCCTCTTCTAGCTGAGGACCCCTGAAATAAAACATCTACTTCCCCTATAGGCACTGTCACCGGCATGGTCATCAACACGGGTGACCGCACCATCATTGGCCATATTGCTTCATTGGCCTCAGGAGTTGGAAATGAGAAGACGCCCATTGCCATTGAGATCGAGCACTTTGTTCATATTGTGGCAGGAGTGGCCGTCTCCATCGGCATCCTTTTCTTCATCATCGCAGTGTCCATGAAGTATCGAGTCCTGGACTCCCTCATCTTCCTCATTGGCATCATTGTGGCCAATGTGCCCGAGGGCCTCCTGGGCACTGTCACTGTGAGTCCATGCTGTTGAGCAGCCTGCACCCGGCCCTGTGGACACAGCATTGCTGCTGGGGAGGCACTCACACAAACTGCAGTCTCCCCTAGTTGTAGAGCACCACGCCCTCCTCTCCAGGGACGACCATGGAACATTCTGAATAGATCGTTTCTTACAGAGACAAAAGAAATTGGCGTATTTTTAATATTTGAATGTGTTTTCCCTGGAAACGTTATGTTTTCAATCTGCATTTCACATAGCTTACTCTGCCCCTTAAGATCTAGATAAGACAGGCTCCACCATTCACAGATTTTCTAGAAGCATGGTGCCTTCCCCATATTTCTTTGGCCGTTTCTACAACTTAGGCATTTAGGTGCATTGCCACACTCCACTTCTCTCTCTTAGGCAAGAAAAAAATAATTCCTCCCATTTTTTCCGCGGAGGACTCCAGCCCTTTCCTGGCCAGCCCTAGACTCAGCTCCGGCTCTGTTTGTACCGGCCCATGTCATTCAGCCCCTAGACTGAGCCCCCTCCTCCCCAGTCTCTGCTGTGGGAGTCCCCAGGGGTTGGAGAAGACGGGGTTCATGTCCAGTTTTGTGACTACATGATCATTGTCCTGGTATTGTCCTGATCAAAAAAAAGAGAAGAAGTGTTTGAATTCCAGGTCTCCTCTGACTCCAGGAGTTAGTCATCTGGGGAAATTGGAGTCAAAAGAACGCTTTAAGATTTGGAGGTTTAAAAGAATCTTTAAAATATGGAGCTTTTAATATGAAACAACACAAAGGCTGCTGAATTCCTCAAAGCAACAAGTGTGTCCTTTGGGACAATCTCTTTGGCCTGCACCAGTCAGTCTCTCTTACACACTCCTGCTTGGGGACCACAGGAGGTGTCATGAGCGTACGTTAGCACCAGCAGCCACAGCAGCATTGTCTGTTTGTTGCCCGTGGGTCTCTTGTTTTCTTCAAGTTATGAAGGACCAAGAAAAGTGTCTCATGTTTAATCTTTAAAAAAGGATTGTGTCATAGAGGGCTTTTGGTGGCCTATAATCCACCAGGTCAGCTTAGCTGTGTCGGCAACCACACTTCTCCCCTAAAATAGTCCGGCTGTCTCCTAAAATTCAATCACAGCTAACTTTGGCTGTTTCTGTATTACTGGACCTGAATTCAAATGAGGATACTTCCCAAAGCATCCTTCCCTCTCCTGTTAGGTGACCCTGTCACTGACAGCAAAACGGATGGCCAAGAAGAACTGCCTGGTGAAGAACCTGGAGGCCGTGGAGACCCTTGGCTCCACCTCCATCATCTGCTCTGACAAGACTGGGACACTGACCCAGAACAGGATGACAGTGGCCCATCTGTGGTTCGACAATCAGATCTTTGTGGCTGACACCAGTGAAGACCATTCAAGTAAGTCTTATGGAGGGCTTGGTCTGGCCAAAGCTGTGGACTCCATTCTGAGGCTGAGCTGAACATGCAGCAGGGTCTGCAGCTGGAAGATACAGTGACTCGTGGATGGCCAGCCCAACCCACAGCAGCCATTGTTCTTTCTCTGTCTTCCAGACCAAGTCTTTGACCAAAGCTCTAGTACTTGGGCCTCCTTATCCAAGATAATAACATTGTGTAACCGAGCTGAGTTCAAGCCAGGACAGGAAAATGTCCCCATCATGAAGGTAATGCTTCTGCAGCAGTCGGTCTTAAATCACAGCCAGTTTGTAGTCATTTGCTCCAGTGATCAGGTGCTTGATTTCATCTCTCCACTTGCATAAAGTTTGTCCAGTGCTTGCAAGAGCAAGTTGGACTCACAAGACACGCAGAAAGTTTTCTTCATGCTTACCAGCTTTGAGAAATACAAAGATGCTTAAAAGGTTTCAGAATATTGCTTAAGGGCCTTTAGAAAATTCTGGACATGAATGCACCTTTAAGTTACTTTCCTGACTTCTCTGCCAGCTAAGTGGATGTAATCAAAGTTCGTTTTAATATACATGCCATTCATGGAAGTTTAAAATGTGATTGGATAAAATAAAAGGACTGATTCAGCACATCTTCCTGTTAACTAGAATATGGCTGCAGATGGAGCTTTAAAGGGTCCTGAAATATCGGAACCTATAATAAACTCCCTCCCTCCCTCCCTCCCTCTCCTACTTTCCTCCTTCCCTTTCTCCCTTTTCTTCTCCATCTCAGTGAGTCACTGAATCTGTATTCTCCTGGCTTTTCTATTTGCCATCTGTTTCTTTCTCTGACTCTTTTTCTTTCTTATTTTTTTTGTTGTTGTTTGGTTTTCTCTCCATCAGACAGCTCATTAATATTCTTTTTGGCCAACTGCTTCTTTGTCAGTATCTTCCAAATCTTTATGTCCAGTTCTAATTTCTTACCCAAACTCCAACCTGGATCTCCAGCTGGCTGTGTGCTTCCACTTGGAAGTTCCACAAATCATGGTCATTAACTTCCACCTGCACCCAGCCTGGCTGCACATCAGTGTCTTGCCCCAACTTTCTAATTTTCTATGATATAAACATTCTGTTTGTCATCAGGCCAGAACATTTGGAAGTCATCTTTGACTGTCTCCTTTCCTTATAACCAGTGAGTCACCAAGTTCTATCATTCTTGCTTCAAAATAAACGTAACTTTACATGACTATTTATCAGCAGTACCTTACATCTAAATAGCTGTGTCAACCTCTTAATTAATTGGAATTAAGCCTCCTTGATTCCAGTTTATCCCTCCTGGAGTCTTTCTCAAATGCCATTAATTTTTTTTAAATGATGCTTTTATATTCACTTAACTTTGCTCAAAATCTTTCTGTACCTCCCTGTTTTCTGCTTCTCAAGTCTAGACTTCAGCCTGCCTTTCAAGGCCCACCAGGCCTTGCCACACCCTCCACATCCACTTGTACCTTAAACACTCATGGAAGAGCCTGCACCTCATGCCCCTGCACCAGCATCCTGATTTCTGGAAGGTTTTCTTCTCTGTGTATTGGCAACCCACCTATCTATCAAGATCTAGTTCATAGCTGCTTTTTTCCATGAAACCTTCAGTCATCACAGAGGTCCAGCTTCTCTGAACATCCCTAATGCCAGTAGGTGGCACCATTGTTTACATGGTTACCACTGTCTTGTGGCCTCCCTGATTGTCACGTGACAATATCTTGTCTCTGGAACTAGATGGTAGTAGGATTAGGGGATGTTTTGGGTCCTGTGCTGAGGGCATGTTGGTTCATTAAATATGTGCTGCAAATATTTTTCTCTTTTGATTCCCAGAAAGCTGTGATTGGAGATGCCTCAGAAACTGCTCTTTTAAAATTCTCAGAGGTCCTTTTGGGTGATGTGATGGAAATTAGAAAAAGAAACCGCAAAGTAGTTGAAATCCCTTTTAACTCTACTAATAAATTTCAGGTGAGTTTTTCCTCAGAACCGGCCATCTCTGTTATTGGCAGGGTGACCTTTCTACTTGCATATATCCTTTGCTTAACTCATATCAAAATATGAGGATACCTGACATCAAAGACAGTTGTCAGGGATACAGCACCCAGGTACATGGTCCCCCAGATCAAGCTCCCTTGCTGGCCTCCTTCCTAGCCATGAAGCAGAGCAGAGAAAGAAAGAAAGGCAATGACCTCATTAGGGCCTGGATGCTGTTATGAATGAGCCATCGCTGTCACAGGCATACTCTTCTCTCTCTCTCTCTCTCTCTCTCTCACACACACACACACACACACACACTCACACACTCTCATACCACCACTACCAGGTACCTTCTGCCATGAGGAACAGCAGCCACACCCCAAAGCATAAATGCCAGATGGGCAGCGGGGAGGCTGAACACCCGCTCACACCCCAGGTGCATCAGGCCCTTGACCTACGTGATCTCCTTCCACGTTCACATCAGGCCTGTGAGGTAGGACTCACTAATCCTGACACATAGAGGAGGAGGCAGGCCCTTAGAAAGTGTTGAGAGACCAGAGTTCAACAGCCCAGTGTTCTCAAGCCTGACTCCAAGTCCACGATTCTTCCACCATCACACAGAGGGAACGCGGCACAGTTCGGGCCTCAGGAGCAAGCCCTGCCCTTTGGGGAGACCGGTGGGTGGTCCCTCAGGTGACAGGACCACTTTCTGGAGCCATCCTGTGCTGTGGGTGGGAGTCTCCTTTCTACCCCTTGCTCAGGTAGAAGACGGCCATCCTTGCCTGGTTATCTCAGCATGCAGACCTGGCTGACAGCCGTTGCATCCTCCCCATGTTAAGACAAATGGCAGTTGGCAGCCCCAGGTCCCAAGGCAGATTGGATTTCCCAGAGTCCACACTGAAAGCAGGATCAGGACCTGGGCTTTGCACAACAGTAGAGTATAGAAGTGGTATAACCACAACCATATGTGTGGAGGTTTCTGGTAATTATCTACCCATCTTTGTTCAAATGGAATTTAGGGTTAGAGAAGAACTCTTTTTGTTGTTGTTAGAATAAGTTTCACTCTTGTCACCCAAGCTGGAGTGCAATGGCGCAATTTCAGCTCACTGCAACTTTCACCCCCTGGGTACAAGCAGTTCTCCTGCCTAAGCCTCCCTTGTAGCTGGGATTACAGGCATGCACCTCCACACCCAGCTAATTTTTTGTATTTTTAGCTGGGGTTTCACCATGTTGGCCAGGCTGGTTTCTAACTCCTGACCTCAGGTGATCCACCCACCTTGGCCTCCCAAAGTGCTGGGATTACAGGCATGAGCCACCGCACCCAGCCTAGAGAAGAACTCTTGTGTTGCAAATGTATTCTTTGTGGACAATCAGCCAATGGAGGACTAGAGTTAGCTAAATAGACAACCAACCAGAAACATATGATGTAAAATGCTCAAGCCAGGAAACCACATCTCTTATATAAAACCTAAATGAAAACAGAGTGGGTAACAGTCCTAAAAGAACAGTAATAATAGGAGCTGTTCTGTGCTAATTTCCGCATGTATTAAATCATTCATTCTCACGACGACGCTGTGGGGTGGGTAGAGGATGAGGAGGCTGAGGTGCAGCGCATCAGTGCACAGTGTGGAGATGGAGTTAGATGATGTCTCCATCAGCAGCAGGACTTGGCGCCCTGCTAAAGCTCCGTCTTTCATGGTAAAAGCATGCCCTGTTGCAAGAAGGGAGAAAAAGCAAAGAAGGCCTCGTGTACAAGTGGGAGGAGAAAGTGGTACATAGAGTGGGACTAGAAAGGGGAGAGGGACCTGTGTGAGTTCCCACTGAAGAGGTCGAAGACGCTGTCTGGATGCTGTTCGGATCATTTTGTATCTACACGTGAGCAGTGCTCAACCTCACCAGGGTTTTAGATGTCACAGCCTTAGAAGGAGAAGTCTCTGCCTGAAGGAAAGAAAGTGGAAAGCCTATGTTTCATTGATTAGAATAGTGATGCCCCAAACACATTGGTCCATGAAAACATTTAAACAGTTTATCACAAATTGGAAAATGTTTTATATAAAGTTGAATGTATTTGATTTCAAAGATTATCCTTTGGAGCCTCCATGATTAAGGGCAGGGAGTCGAGTCAACTAGCCTGGGCTCACATCCCAACTCAGCCACCAGATAGCCACCTATTGCTCAGTGATCTTGAGCAAAGCATTGAACTTCTGTGCCTCAGTTTCCTCCTTTGTAAAAGAGAATACTAATAGTACCTGTGGCCTTAAGATTGTTTTGAGGATGAATGAGTCGATGTGGCAGCACTTAGAACAGTGCCTGGCATGTGGTACACACCATAAATAGGTTTTGTATTATCCCTTTGTTTTAAATGCCACTGCACTCCAGCCTGGGTGCCAGAGTGGAACCAAATCTCAAAAAATATATCTATCAACAGAGAGAGAAAGCAAAAGAGAAGGCCCACGTTTTAGAAAGCGATGTGATAACAGATGGGAGGGTTTTTGTTTGGTTTGGTTGGTTGGTTTTCTCAATGCCTTTACTTGGCCATTAAAAAAAGCAGCAGCAGCAGCTGGCAACCCTATCGGCTGATACTTCTTTTTGTACTCACCTTTGCCATCATCTTTGCTACCCAAAAGTCTAAGAAATACTGATTTGTAAATTCCCGTTAGACCCAAAATGGTAGCACTTTTCCTCATTTTTGAGACAGAGTCTCACTCTGTCACCCAGGCTGGAGTGCAGTGGTGTGATCTTGGCTCACTGCAACCTCTGCCTCCCGAGTTCCAGCAATTCTCCTGCCTCAGCCTCCCCAGTAGCTGGGACTACAGAAGTGTGCCACTATGCCCAGCTAATTTTTTTTTTTTGTATTTTTTAATAGAGATGGGGTTTCACCATATTGGCCAGGCTGTCTCAAACTCCTGACCTGATGATTCGCCCACCTCGACTTCTCAAAGTGCTGGTATTACAGGCACGAGGCACCACCTCCAGCCCCACTTTTCTTTGTAACTTATTTTCTCCCAAACACTCCAGCTTCCTGAGATTCCTCTTGAGTGCTTAGAAGAGTACCCGGCTTATCATAAGGGATAGATGAGTTAGTCACTTTATTCTTGTGTATAGATTTTTTTTTTTGCATATCTTATTAGGATGAATCTGGAAGTAGAATTGCTAGGTCAAGAGCATTTCTATCAAAATTGAGACTCCTGTGACTGAGCTGTCTTCCTGAAAGGGTATATGTGGAAGTATCCACTTCCTCACCACCCCACCCCACCCCCATTTTCTATTACATCCAAACAGGAAAACTGGGTAGACAGTGAGATAAAGAGGCACAGGGATTCCTGCTGGCTTGTGCCCTTCTGAGCTCAGAATAGTTTGGGTTTGAAAGTTGGCTGCTCCCCACAGGGAGGTAGAGGAGATGAGATGCAGAGGCTCGCAGCCCTCTAACTCTCATGGGCACCCTGGGAGATATTGCTCAAGGCACAAGATTTCACATGCTGATGGTCACATCTGGCCTGTTTAAAGCGGCCAGTTTTGCTTGAAAGATAAGCTTGACTTATTGCAGATTCCAACCCAGGACGTCCCACTGTGGGCTGAGGCCAAGTCTAGATCTCTTCACCTTACCTGGCCACAGAAATAAAAAGGGCAGAATGTGCTGAGGATGCCATTGTTCCCCTTCCTCCTTTACATTTAATGGACCAGTAGAGAAGAAGGAATGTGTCTGGCCTTTCTGTAGGTAACACGCTTGGTTCATTCCAGCTCTCCATCCACGAGACGGATGACCCCCACGACAAGCGCTTCCTCATGGTGATGAAGGGGGCCCCTGAGCGCATCCTAGAGAAGTGCAGCACCATCATGATCAATGGCGAGGAGCACCCGCTGGACAAGAGCACTGCCAAGACCTTCCACACAGCCTACATGGAGCTGGGTGGGCTGGGCGAGCGCGTGCTGGGTGAGTGTGACGGCAGGGCCCTGCCCATCACCTGGTAGGTGCAGAGATGAGGCAGGCCCCTTGAGGACCTGTGACCTAGTTGAGTGGCTGTGGCATCCACATGAAGCAGGTAAAGGAGAACATGATAAGCAGGATGGGAACAAGGGGAGCCCCAAGCAGGATGGTGTGGCCTCCAGAGAAGCAAGCTCAGGGAAGACTATGGAAGGAGGTTAAATTTCAAACTGAGCCTTAAGTGACTGCATTTGAGGAGAGATGGGGGAAAGTAACCAGGGCCCAGGGAACAGCACAGGCCAAGCACAGAAGCAGAATGAAGTGGGGTGCACAGGATGCTGCCGGCAGGTGAGACGGCATGGTCACAGAAACAGGGCTTGAGGGCTAGATTAGAGGTCATGAGATGGGGGCCTTGAACATGCAGTGAGGAGCCAGGTTTCATCCTGCAGTTAGTCAGGAGCACTGAGGGCTGTGCTGCCAGAGTGAGCTGGGCAGTATTGGGGCTGAGGAAGGATGGTCTTTGATGGCAGCAGGGAGAGGAGAGACGTGCATCTCCATAGGAGGTAGCTGCCCTTGCTCAGGAGAAAGAGATGGGAATTTGATTGGGGTGATAGGAATGTGAAGGAGGGATCAGGGGCCAGAGACTTCATAGAGGTAGAATTGTTAAGACAGAACCAGTTAGAGGAGAATAGTCAATTTAAAAATGAGTAAGCTTCCTGTTTAGCAACTAGGAAGAGTGATGCCAGTGACACAGACGAAGTGACAGGAGGGAAGGAACTTTAGAAGTGCAACCACGGTGGGAGGAGACCAATGGGGGTGCCTGCAGTTTTGTCACAGGGGACCCTGTGTCTTGTCAGCACTGGGGCTGGTGGTGCCCCATGAGGACCACAGAATGATGAATTCAAGGAAACAGAAGCATGTGGTTGATGATCCAGCTCATTAAACAACACGAAAGTCCTTGCCAACATAGACGGAATCTGTGGAATGTGTGTTTCTAAAGGCTATTTGAGTTGGCAAAGCAGATCAAACATAAATGAGATGGTAATGCTTCAGGCATCCAGTAACCCACAGCACCCTGTCTTCTACTCAGGATTGATTCTCGCTTGTGTTTGACCTCTCAAAGCCCGCTCTACTGACATTTGCAAAGCAGTGGGCCAGGCTGCAAATAAATTGCATATGAAATCTGATCAGTCTTGGAGGTCCCACCAGACACAAGAGTCCCTTTCACCTCAGTCTATGAGGATCTGAAGTCTTCTGAGAAAAGGATGGCTCGGCCCCATTCCTGCTGGCCTTTCTCTTGGGCTTATCTTGATCTAACACTGAACTTCGTGCCCCTCCATTGAAACCCGTTGTTCCTTCACATGCTGTTTTCTCTGCTGAAAATACCCTTCCCACCTCCACTTTCCCTTTTTTCCCTAGAAATCATCCGTGCCCCTCTCAAGGTTCAGCTCGCATGTGACCTCCTTAGGGAAGGTCTCTCCTGACCCTCAGGCAGCCGAAGTGTGGCTCTGCCCTGAGACATGCACTGTGCTTGCTCCCTTTAACTCTGTGCCCCACTGAGCTTCAGAAGTTGAGGCTGTGCACGCTGGGTCTTTTTATGTCTAGATCTAGGCAATATAGCAAGATATATTTCTAGAACATAGAACCTAATGAGCACAGTGAGTTATATTTGGATGAAGTAATGGCTTTCCTAAAAAACTGCATTATGGAGTTGAAGAAATTAAATGGTTCTGGCTTATTCTAATATATTGGTAAAACAGTAAAGGACTGAGGTGTTTCGGCATGTTTCCCTCTTATTTTTTTTCATTTCCTATCCTAGTTTCACTGACTCCCTACTTCATCTGTATGACAGGTTTCTGTCATCTCTACCTGCCAGCAGATGAGTTTCCAGAAACCTACTCATTTGACATAGACGCCATGAACTTTCCCACCTCCAACCTCTGTTTTGTGGGACTGTTGTCAATGATCGATCCCCCTCGGTCCACCGTGCCAGATGCAGTCACCAAATGCCGGAGTGCAGGGATCAAGGTGGGAGCTATGTTCCTGGCTCAAGAAGTTCTCTCTTTAGGGTGTGTTCCTTTCTAATAATCTTTTTCATAGGAGATGGTCAGTATGTAGGTGTCTTCAAGTAAACATCATAATTCCCATTTTTATTTCTAGTTTCACTGTGCTAAGGTTACTGAAAGTGTCCCTCAAAAACAAAATGACTGTGTCTGTGTGGAATAAACCACATATATAGTAAGTGCAATGAGAAGAAGCTCCCAGTGCCTTGAAGTGGCCATAGCTTGTCATAGACAATGATAAATACTAAAAGGCTTTATTACTCAATCTTGAGGTTCAACCCCCATAATCCATGTTCATCATTACTACACATTAATATTAAGACTGTTGAAACAACAGGAGGCTGCCCCAAGTAGACACTCACCAGCCCTTTCACAAATAAAGTGGCATCAAAGGGGAAGGGGTTCCTCTCCTGTCATAGGAGGAAGCATATGAAGCTTAGGAGCAAGGGCAGACCCAATGGGATTAGTGTGTCCTCCGAAGACAGTTGTCTTGTAGATCCAGAGCTGCCACCATAATCACCAACACATTCTCCCAGGGCACTATGGAGTAGGCAATACTGAGCCATCCCCACTGTGACCAACCGAGTTCTTTATTGTCCATGGGCCTCCTCGTTGTCTGTGCTCTAGGTTATTATGGTTACTGGCGATCATCCCATCACAGCCAAAGCTATCGCCAAGAGTGTGGGAATCATTTCAGCCAACAGTGAGACAGTGGAAGACATTGCACATCGCCTCAACATCCCTGTGGAGCAGGTTAACCAACGGTAAGCACAGGAGCAGCACAGCAAAAACTCCAGTTCATGCCCATGGGGCTCCACTGGCTCTAAAGAGCTGCACTACTTGGAATGAATCAGCTTTTTACCATCAGAGTGATGGTAGGCTAGTTTGAGCTATAATTTGCATATCCATGTAGTCACTCTGATTTTACTGAGCAGCTAGTATGTGCCAGGCACAGTATTAATACCATGAAATGAACCTTTATGTGTTCCTTGTTTGAAATTTCAAAATCCAGTGTGCCCTAGGCACAAAAACCAATGTGCCCAATTTAGAATAAGAAAAACTGAAACGAAGGATTTGTGTGAAATTACTTGCCATAAATGCAGTTGCGTAATTTGGAATAGTAAGAACCCTGTGGGTTGTTTCATGCACACCCCCCCCCAACCTTAGTAAGCGTCTTGGATATTTATCCACCCAGTTTTATAGCCTGTAGCTATGTAAACACACTCTTTTTTATTTGGTAATAAATGGAATGGAAGCTTCCTAAGGAAAGTCTTTTCTTGTTTCTCCTAATTATTTTAATCATGTTTATCTGTATTCTTTTAATTATGTTCATCCATCTGTTCATTCACTCATGTATTTATTCTTTCAACAATTATATTTTGCCTACCGACTATATACCAGGCAAGACCTGGAACTGCAGTAGCAAAGCGAACAATACTACCTATACCCTTGGGGATCTTCCCATCGAGCCAAGGAGACAGACTGAAAGCTAACAGTGGTGTGGTCGGTTTAATGAAGGAGAAACACAGGGCCAGGTAGCTGGGCGTGCAGGAGAGTGGCCTGGAATGTGCGTGGTCTCCGTGAGCCAAAGACTCCAAATTCTCAGGTCAAGAAGAAGTGTTCATTAGCTGGGTTATGCTTTCCTGCTTGTGGGGAGACAAGGGAGAGACCAATGCATCTCTTCAGTTTCCCCAAGCACTTAGGCCTTTTAGGGACACACAGCTGTCAGGTGGTAACAAATTACCCTGGTTAGCCAGGGTTGGGTCCCGCCTCTGGGCACGGCAACAGTACCTGAAGTCTAAAGTCTTGCAGTGCTTTTTGCTATACATAACATCTCTCTATGAAAACAAGTTTCGGGCTTGTTCATTTGTTTGGTTTTGTAAAACAATTGGATTATACTTTTTTTCACTTTCAAATTTAAAAAATAAAACTTTTTTTTTGAGACGGAGTCTTACTCTGTCTTGCAGGCTGGAGTGCAGTGGTGAGATCTCAGCTCAATGCAACTTTCACCTCCCGGGTTCAAGCAATTCTCCTGCCTCAGCCTCCCGAGTAGCTGGGACCACAGGCGTGTGTCACCACACCTGACTAATTTTAAAACATTTTTTGTAGAGATGGGGGCTCTCACTCTTTTGCCTAGGCTGATCTTGAACTCTTGGCCTCAAGTGATCCTCGTGACTCAGCCTCCCAAAGTGCTGGCATTACAGGCATGAACTACTGTGTTTGGCCCTGAACAGGCAGTTTTTAAACCTCCTTTTACTTGTGAAGTAAAGCGTTATTCCAGGAAGTGCCACCTCTCACCTGTTCTAGTAAGGATAAAGCTACCTGTTTTTTCTTCCTATTGTTACATGGCACCAGGAAATGGTGTGATTTTTTTAGCTTCAGTTTGCCCTCTTAAAATGGAGACTGAAGTGCTCCCAGGACTCATAACTCCTGTTACCTCGCTGGAGCATTAGGTATCAAGGACACTAGGTTCCAGGTCAAGTCAGACAGGCTTCAGCCAGCATCCTGCCTGGACCAGTGCTTCAAGCTAAGGTCTGCCCTTGGGCCTCACTCAGTTTCTTCTGGCCTTTCTAGGGATGCCAAGGCCGCTATAGTGACTGGCATGGAGCTGAAGGACATGAGCTTGGAACAGCTGGATGAGATCTTAGCCAACTACCAGGAGATTGTCTTTGCCCGGACATCCCCCCAGCAGAAGCTGATCATTGTGGAGGGCTGTCAGAGGCAGGTGGGTGGCCGGCAGTGCCCAGAGGACTGACAGGCCCATCACTGTCCACGGGCAAGTGCAGGGGTCTGGATCTCACATCAGGGTGTGGTGCCCTGGAAACCTCAAGAGAGAGTTCTTGGCTCATCCTCATCACCTGACCTCTCCACCCTCTCAGGTGGGCTGGCCCCTGCCCTCCTTTGAGACCCCCACCACTTGTTCCCCGAAAGGCTCACTCCAGCTCTGCATTTTATCATGAGACCCCAAGGCTTCTGAGGTGAAGCATTTGGCACTGTGGTAGGGGTGAGTAAAAAAAAGATTTAAAATGCAAAGATAAAAAACAGAAAATGTGAAGACATAAGATACAAAACACCTGCATGTTAGGTTTCCCTCGTTTGCACACATCTTGTTTGGAGCTCCTTGTTCCTGCTGCTAAGATTCCTCATCTTTATCACTTCCCATAAATGGGCCCTTTAGTTCAGCCATAATGGTCCTCGCAGCCTCAAGAAAAAGGGAGGCTGCGCTGCTCTTGCCAGGCCTGCTCACTCCACTTTCTCCCTGGGTTCCCCGCCACAGGATGCCGTTGTTGCTGTGACGGGGGATGGAGTTAATGACTCTCCGGCTCTAAAGAAGGCAGACATTGGGATTGCCATGGGCATAGCAGGTTCTGACGCAGCCAAAAATGCAGCTGACATGGTCTTGCTGGATGACAACTTCGCATCCATTGTCACAGGGGTGGAGGAAGGTGAGTGAGTCTCAGGGGGTCTTCCCGAGGGCCGGAGTCATCTGGGGGACTAGAAGCAGGTTCTGAAGGAGAAACTCTCTGCCTAGGTCGCCTGATCTTTGACAACCTCAAGAAGACTATTGCTTACACCCTGACCAAGAACATTGCCGAGCTGTGCCCCTTTCTGATCTACATCATCGCCGGGCTCCCCCTGCCCATTGGCACCATCACCATCCTGTTCATTGACTTAGGGACAGACATTGTAAGTGACTCTGAAGGGAACAGGGTGTGATGCTCACCCCAGGGGAGGTCAAGTTCAAAGGCTGGGGATGGACTAAGTCAATGCTTCTCAGTTTCCAGGTGATGGGGCCTGTAGCTCTGTATTTCTCACAGGTTCCTGGGTAGTGCCCATTCTGCTGGTCCACATGCCACACCTCAAAAGCAAGGCACCAGGGGCATCTGCCAAATGTTTGGAAGTTAAATCACTCTATAGTGAGCTTTTTTTTCTTGAGACAGAGTTTCACTCTCATCACCCAGGCTAGAGTCCACAGGTGCTATCTCAGCTCTCTGCAACCTCCACCTCCTGGGCTCAAGTGATTCTTCCACCTCAGCCTCCCAAGTAGTTGGGACTACGGACTTGTGCTACCACACCTGCCTGATTTTTGTATTTTTAGTAGAGATGGGGTTTCGCCATGTTACCCAGGCTGGTCTCAAACTCCTGGCCTCAAGTAATCCACCCACTGCGTCCTCCCAAAATGCTGGGATTACAGGCATGAGCCACTGCACCCGACCTATAGCAAGCTTTTCAAGACATGAGTCTTCATCCAAAAAAAAAAAAAAATCCATTGGTCGGTTTCACCCTATGTGCCTCCCTTTTCTTTCAGGAAAATGAAGCTGTCACTCAAATTAATCACCCAAATATCCACTGGGGCCCAGTGAATAAAGTGATAATCCCGCAGCCACCCCTTGTTAAGTAAGAGAGTCTGACCTGGGAGCCCTTTACCTAAACAGAGTAAGAAGTAGCAGGTATGAAGACTATAAAGCCTTGCCCTACAGGAATGTCACCTAAACCGTCCCCTTTTTCAATATCCATTTAAAGAAAGCCCCATGAAAGCTGCCCATGTGGCTGTGGCTTACGTGGGCAAGCAGGGAAAGCAACAGACAGCAAGCTCAATTCTCAGCAGGAAACTGGCTCTTCAAATTGCCCCCTTCCCCTCTCTTGATTTCTATAACACCCAGGTAATCCCTAATTCCTTGAGCGACTGGAGATGTCTTTCTCTTTGAGGGGTATTCAGGTCCCCAAAGTTGATGGATCATTTTCCAAGCCCTTCACATTTGCCTGCTTTGCTCTGCTGCAGTGCTTCTCCAAGCGTGGTGCAGGCATCACCTGGGAACTCATTAGAATGCACACTCCGGACCTCTGGTGGACACCTGTAGCCCCAGCTACTTAAGAGGCCAACACAGGAGGATTTACCCCAGCTCAGGAGTTTGAGTCAGGACTGGGCAACATAGAGAACTTGTCTCTTAAAAAATAAAAATTTAACAAAACATTAAATAAAATAAAAAATATTATTCCAGATAACTGGGCTAGAAATCATGGAAATAGGTTGTACACTCATTTTAAGTAAGGAAGGGAGGGAGGGAGGGAGGGAGGGAGGGAGGAAGGCAAATTCTCTGGCCCCAGCCCAGTTCTCCTGAATTGGGAAGTCTAAAGGTGGGGCGCAGTGATCTGTCTTTTAGCAGGTCCTCCCAACTGGAGTGGGAGGGTGGCACAAGAAATCCTCCCTGTAGGGAAAGAGTGTTTCATAACCAGCGTTATTCAGAACTGCCAGCACCGGGTGATTAAAAAGCAGCTGATTTTTAAAGGCACTGTTCTTAAATTCCTGTATAGACAACACGCCCTCTACTGCCTACAACCTGGATGGGCCAGCTGCATGCCCCCACCCCCCATCCAGCCAGGGCCCCACCCACCCCAGCCCCCCTCTCCTGTAGGTAGAGCAGAGCATCCTGGGGTTATACCTCACCAACCTCTTCCCTTCTAGATCCCCTCCATCGCTTTGGCATATGAGAAGGCAGAAAGTGACATCATGAACAGGAAACCTCGCCACAAGAAGAAGGACAGGCTGGTGAACAAGCCACTCGCCGTGTACTCATACCTGCACATTGGTACGACAAGGGCACGTCCTCTTCGTCATACCAGGGCCTGCCCTGAGAATTGAATCAACTGGAGTCCGGGGCACAGCCAGAAAGTGTGGTTTTCCTGTGGGTGCCTGGGTTGGGGAGGAAGGGGGAACCGAGAGGAAACAGGATGAGGCAGTTCCATGGGGCCATCATAGAACCGGTGTTCTATCCCTCGTTCTTTTAGGCCTCATGCAAGCCCTGGGAGCTTTCCTTGTGTATTTCACCGTCTATGCGCAGGAGGGCTTTCTGCCCCACACTCTCATTAACTTGCGGGTAGAATGGGAGAATGACAACGTGAATGATTTGGAAGATCACTATGGGCAGGAATGGGTGAGTGATGGGAGCCCTGCCTCAGAGTCCCCCTGATTCTCTCCATGCTCACTGACCGGCCCAGACTTACACAGAACCTCTATGTCCCTGAACAGCCTGGGAAAGCTTCAGTTAATAGGGTGCAGGACCCCCTTGCCGACACATGCTTGGCCTTTGCTAGGTCTCAGGACAAGCCTCCTCTCTCAGTCTAGATGCCAAGAGATCCCTTTTTTACTTTAGCTTTGCCATTAGTATAGAAGAGTGACCAGCCCAGCCACACCCACAGAGGGGCCAAATAAGTTGACATCTTTCAGGCTGGGTGCAGTGGCTCATGCCTGTAATCCCAGCACTTTGGGAGGCTGCGGTGGGAGGATACTTGAGCCCAGAAGTTTGAGACCAACCTGGCCAACATAGTGAGACCTCGTCTGTATTAAAAATAATAGTAATGATAATTTTTTAAAAATTAAAATTTTCCTTACTCGCTTGGTTCAGGAAAGAAAAATGCTTGTTTCCAAACACATGGAGGTGGTCCAGTCTCAGTCTGGGTGAAGTAGGGAGAGAGCACAAAGCTATAGAGAAGTTTACTGAAATAGTCTACAAGTTTTCTGGCCTCACGGTCTCTTCCTTCTCTGCCTGTTAATAGACAAGGTACCAGAGGGAATACCTAGAATGGACTGGCTACACGGCTTTCTTTGTTGGCATCCTGGTCCAGCAAATAGCAGATCTGATCATCAGGAAGACCCGGAGGAATTCCATTTTCCAGCAGGGTCTCTTCAGGTACTGCCCGTGCCCGGCCTCCTGGGGCAGCCCTGGGCCTGCTGTACAAGGAGGACGATGGTTTGTTATTCACAAGACCGAGCTCTGGCCACAGTTGTAACCCCAGAGGCATTGACTGTGCTGGGGGCATGGTCCGCTGGGTGTATGATCATGAAGCCACAAGAATCCAAAGTCTGTCTGCTTTTGTGTGTCTTGCAGAAATAAAGTCATCTGGGTGGGGATTGCCTCACAGATCATCATTGGGCTGATCCTGTCCTATGGTCTTGGAAGTGTCACAGCGCTGAATTTTACCATGCTCAGGTGAGTTCACCCTCAGCAGCATGGAGGAAAGAGCCAGCCTCTGCTTTGAGCTGTAGCAGCCTAAATACACCTGAGAATACCCAAGGTTCTTCCCCCAAGTCTTTCAGAAGTGGTTAAACTGATCCCATGCTCTATGAGCCCAAAGTTTTGATCTGCATTTTCCCGAAATGGAAACACGTTTTCCAGACCTCACCAACGCACCTTCATCCTCATCCAACAGGTTGCTTCAAAGGCAGACATTGCTTCTAGCAGTCACAGTGCAGATTAAACAAGGAGCTTTCCAGCTTTAGGTTGTGGGACCTCGTGGATTTGTTGTGCTTTGCAGTAAAACAGGAAAAATGAACAAGAAGCCCCATTCTTGTTGGGGGGTGGTTGGGCTATCCCTGTAGATGAGTCAGGGCTCACCCTCCACCCCTCTGCTTCCAGGGCTCAGTACTGGTTTGTGGCTGTGCCGCATGCCATCCTGATCTGGGTGTATGATGAGGTGCGGAAACTCTTCATCAGGCTCTATCCTGGAAGTGAGTAGTCTATGATTTTAGAGGCTGTTTACCCACTTCAACAGACTCTCCATTTCTGATGTACTTTTTTCGACCTCTGCAGGCTGGTGGGATAAGAACATGTATTATTAAGACCACCTCGCTTCCCAAGTCTCCCAGCAGCACATTGGGGTGTGCCTGTTCATCTTCTGACCATTCGCTGGGAGATTCCCCTGCAGTGCAGACATCGTCAAACTCATACAAGAGGAAATTTTCATGCAGAAAACTGTATGCAGGATACTCACTGACGTTTTGTACTTTAAAACTGAAATTCAACTCTTGATATATGATTTTCACTTCTGTCTCCATCTCCTCATTTAAAAATATGTACATTTCAAGGTAATGGCATAGGGAAGAATGTGTTTATATGTATATGAAGCTCCTTGATGTTGATAGTCTTATGTAACCCAGATCTTCTGGGATCTGCCTTAAGATCTAGCTAGGATTGCTCAGAACTTCTTTACACACCCTACTAAAGGCTCAGTGACCACCCTAAGATTTCTGCAACTCCCTTGAAAAGGTATGTTTTCATGGTCTCCTTGCTCAAAAAAGGCTAACTCAGCCAAGGGTCTGAAGTGGTAGCAGGTTCACATCACATCACAGCAGCACGCATGACCTCAGCTTTGATTCTTTTGACTCTGAGACGTCCTTCTTGAAGACCTCTGCCATCTGGCCATGATAGTTTCCCTGGCCACGTCACCCCATCCCACCTCTGGTCACCTCCCCAGCCCTTTATGCCCCTGTCACCCTCCACCCCTATGTCAGCTCCTCCAAAACTGAGCTCCCAGTTCATTTTGCATATCCTAATTCAAAAATGCTCAGCTAATCCAAGGGGGCTTTCTTCCCCAGGATTCAACCCCAGTAGAGAGCTATTGTAGTTTCATTAGTAATATTTATTTCTTGTAAAACAGTTGCCAGGTGCTCTCCAGCAATAGTATTTTGTCAGTCATGTTTCATGTTTTAACTTAGGTGCATTCATGTGTGACACACCCATATTGACAGGCCTGGAAAGGCCTCATTTTTAAGTAAAAGATGTTTTATAAACCCAGGTTTAATTGTGGTGTTCTAATTGATTCACATTTTTCTAAAACGAAGAGCATAGGACAAAAAAAAAAATAAGATGTGATTCTTACTTTCTTTTTCTTCCTCCTTTTGGTCATTTTACTTATCTGTGGAAGATCTGAAAATGTAGGATTTTTCTTTTGAACTTTTCCTCATGGCCCCAGGGCTCCAGCCTGGACCTCTGATGTGCCCATGATTCTTGGTCAGATGCCTGAGGGCCCGTCTTTCTGCAGCAGCACTCGAGAGAAAGTGGTTTCCACAGCCTTTCCATCAACTGCACATGCCGCACTAACTAATTTGACGGAACCCAAGAATTACGTTTGGTTAAACTTTCTTCATTCAGTGGCCTGCCCCGTCACCTCCATTACAGCCTTTCACCCCGGGGGCCTCTCGGGTTATGGCTCTAGGTTGGCATTTCTGGGTCGGGAAAAGGCAGCCTTACAGTCACCATGCTCTTGGGGTCACACGGAGAACCAGGAAAGAGAGGAGACTCTCCTTGTAACTTTACGTATATAGATTCCAATGTGTATTGTGTGCAGCCATGTAAGCTAAACTAATGTTGCTGTCCTCAGGAGATTCGTAATCTATGTTCAGCCACAATGATCATGGGACCAATCTCCTATCAGCAGTTCCAGTGAACTGGAAACACTTCCCAGAGTGGTTTGGGCAGTGTGGTCATGGTTTTCTCATTCCAGTCTCTACAAGACAGCTAATGCTTTCTAGGCTTCAGCTAAGAATAACTTAACCTTGCTTACTCTTTCTTGACAGGCTGCCCACTTGGCTGCAATGCTTGGCAGCTTTTGGTCCTGCCAAAGCCAGCAGGACAAGGCCATAAATTTAGCTCAAAGCTGCAAGGCTTCACTTGGGGCTGGATTAGGGTTGAAAGGATTAACTTGGGAGTAGAAGTCTCCTCATAGCAGGAACTGTGTATGAAATAACGTTCATATTTGTGCTTACCTACTCTTGCAAAAAGTTGACACTCAAATATGTATAAAAATTAACAAATAACTAACAAGAAATCTCAGAAAGGACACTAGTATATATCAAGTAGCTTTATTAAGTGGTAGACAGAAAAAGGCAATGAAATCCCATTTCAGAGGATATTTTTGGAGGGACTATTTAATTGACCCACTGGAGCCTAGATAGCTTTTATTATAGGAAAAAATGATGTCGATTTAAATCTAATTGATGTGGTAGAGTATCTCAGAGACATAAACTTGAGGCTGAATTCTTAGGGTCTTTGCTTTTTAAAACAATATATTTTATTTTGATTACAAAGTTGCAGCTCTAAATGAGCTATTTTTCTTAAATAAAAAATTTCGAATGGGAGTAAAAAGTAAATTAAAATCACCCTGAGTCTCACTATGTAGTTACATACCTAAATGAAAGAGTAATTCTTTCTTTGGAGTTTTTTCCACACATATATTTATTTTTAAGTAACATTGAAATAAAGTTTTCAATTCTGCCTTTTTTATTTAACATCAAAAACATGGTGTTAATGACTACGCAGCATTCCAGACTGAGAGTGCTTTTGCTAACTGTATCTTCAGTATGAGATAGTTTGTTAATTTCCTTCTAGGCATCTGTCTCAAAAAGGCTGCATCTTATTCTCAATATTGTACCACGCATCTCTAATTTATTAAAAGATTCCTCAAAGCATTTTTAAGGCTCTGGCTACACATTGCCTTATTTATCTTTAGATAAGCTGTATCAGTTTCCACCCCCACCAGCAATAGAAAAAGAATATTTATCTTACGTATCATTAAGATGTGAATGGTCAGTCAACTGTAGAGCTTTTTATAATTCAGCAAAGATGTAGGAAGTGCTCCTGTGTATGGCTCGAGAACTCAGCCCAGAACGAGATAGATCATGGAGCCAGTACACCAGCAGAGGGGCAAAGGAAAACACAAATTGTTGTAAGATCTTGAAGAGATAATCAGGTGATAGGATCCCTGAGTCAGCAAAGTTCTTTTAAATAGGGTGGTCAGCAAAGTCCTTTTTTTCGTTGTTGAGACGGAGTCTTGCATTGTCACCCAGGTTGGGGTGCAGTGGTGCCATCTCGGTTCACTGCAACCTCTGCCTCCCAGGTTCAAGCAATTCTTGTGCCTCAGCCTCCCCAATAACTGGGACTACAGGCGCCCACCACCACGCCTGGCTAATTTTTGTGTTTTTGGTAGAGTTGGGGTTTCACCATGTTGGCCAGACTGGTCTCGACCTTCTGACCTCAGGTTGTAGCAGGAGCGGCTGCGGGAAATGGATCTCTCAGACAAATACAGGAGGAAGAAGTTTATTCGGCCGGGAGCAAGGTGGCATACTGCCTAACAGCCAAGGTCGCCTAACAAAGGAAGGTTCCTTCTTTATATAGGCTTATACTTTAGATGTTACACGTGGAAGAATCTAGGTTTATACCTTATCATATGAAAAGGTTTTCAGTTTACAGTCTTAAGAATTACATATGAAAAGGATCTCGGTTTACAGTGTCAGGAATTACATATGAAAAGGACTTTGGTTTAAAGTCTTAGGAATGAAAAGGGGAAGTTTACAGTCTTAGGAAAAAGGGGAAGTTGATCTGAGATGCCTGGGTCTCCCTCTTCAAGGTGATCTGTCCACTTTGGCCTCCCAAAGTGCTGGGATTACAGGTGTGAGCCACCATGTCTGGCCTAGCAAAGTTGTTTCTGAGGAAGTGAATGCAAAGAAGCAGAGAGAATCAGAGGAAGAGGGGACAGCATGAGCAAAGGCTCTGAGAGGTCAGAGTGGCCTGGCAGGAACACAAAGTGATGGAAGACTGGGGAACGGGGAACTGGAGGGACAGGCAAGAATTTCACCCAAGAGGGGCTCAGAGAACAAATGAAGAAGGTTGGATTTAATTTCAAAACAAGCTATTAGGCCAGGTGCAATGGCTTACACCTGTAATCCTGGCACTTTGGGAGGCTGAGGCAGGAGGATCACTTGAGACCAGAAGCTTGAGACCAGCCTGGGCAATACAGGGAGACCCCATCTCTGCAAAAACAAAGAAGCTATTGAAGACAATTCATAAAAGTGGTTACCTGATCCAGTTGACATGTTCAGATCACTTTGGCTTCTGTGTAGAGAATGGGAGGAAGACCAGGCTGTGGTGACTGGTGTGAGGCTAGCATACCTGGCTCTGTGTGTGTGTGTGTGTGTGTGTGTGTGTGTACCTTCTACTGTATACATAGACTTCAATGGAGGAGTTTCTTAAGGGGGGTTCCTTCTAGGTGACTCAAGACATATGAGTTCAACTCAGGCCCCTAGAAAGGCCCACAACCACCCTGACTGCCCACATTACAATCAAGACAGAGATGCTCAGGCAGGTGTCATCTCGCCAGGAGCCTAGAACAAGATACATGTCTCAATGCACACATACTGCCCTGCTTAAGAGCCTGGATAGGTGCTTCTGACTCTACAAAGATCATGAGTTCACATTTGTTCATTCTGCTGTCATCATTCCACTAGCGGCATCGAATGTCTCTTAAAAAACAGTGGAAATCACTGGTATTTATTAAGTACCTATTATGTTCTGGGTTCCTAACAGCGTGATCTTATGAAGCTCACAACAGCCACATCAGCTGTGGCATCAGCCGTGCTTAGGGAGAGTTTGCCCTTCAATGGAAAATAGGTGCTTCTAGAGCACAGCCTGCAGGCGTGAGTTCTGTCTTACAGCTCTGCAGGTTACGGGAAAATGCAAAGTATTTCTATAGATATGCAAATAAATCCTATCCTGTTGGGTGAAGATCTTTCCTCCCCAGAAAAGCCAGTTTTGCTCCCTTTGCACAATCAACCAACATTCCTGATTCCAGATAAGTGTGCCTCTGCTCCTCTCAGTAGGTTTTAACAACTGCCTAGTTCCCTATTTAAGTGACGAGCTTTAAAGAAATCTTTAATACGTGTTCACTCTTATATCTGTATAAGAAAATTATCATTTCACAATGAACAGAGGAAGAAAAGCAGCATTCCCTCCTCTTTCAGGGCCCTTCTCAGCCCCTCCTGTAGGCAGCCCAGCCAGCCCGAGCTCCCGAATCCCTGCCCACTCCAGGGCCATTCTGCTATGGTGCACAGATGCTGTTTTTTTCTGCTTCAGACCAGTTCTCTCAGGAAGTTCCTTCCTCCCTGTCCCCATTCCTACTTGCCCACCCTCCCCTCTGACATACCAGAACCCAGCTTGGGAGATTTTATCTTCTTGGTCCAGAGGTTCTAAGATAAAGTTAACTGGAAATTTAAGGTAAAAGCCTGATTAATTTTAAAGGAATGGAAGCTGCCCTGCTCAGACTTACTATGCAGGTAAATTGAGATTCGGTGGAGTGAAGCATTTCAGTGCCAGAGTTTATTTGTGGTTTGGGGGATTTTTTTTCTAATTTTTTTTTTTTAACATTTTCTATTTACACAAAGGGATTTCTTCCCCTTCCCCCAACCCCTGCTTTTATTATTTTCTTCTTCTCCTCCTCCTCCTTCTTCTTCTTCTTCTTTTTTTTTTTTTTTTTTTTTTTGAGACAAGGTATTGCTCTGTCACCCAGGCTGGAGTACTAGAGTGAGTGCAATGGTGCGATCTCAGCTCGCTGAAACCTCCACCTCCCAGGCTCAAGCAATTCTTCTGCCTCAGCCTCCTGAGTAGCTGGGACTACAGGTGCACTCCACCACACCCAGCTAATTTTTGTAGAGATGAAGTTTGGCCATGTTGCCCAGGTTGGTCTTGAACTCCTGGGCTCAAGCACTCCACCCACCTCAGCCTCCCAAAGGGCTGGGACTACAGATGTGAGGCACCACACCCAGCTGCTTTTGTTCTTTCAAGTCAAGCGCCTGCTAGGTACACAGCACTGTGCAGATCAATGCTGTGCTGGTGTCAGAGGGCAGGATAACACAACAGGGAAGACCAGGCATGTTTGCAAATAAGCTGTCAATCAGGAGCAGGATTTGGTCCAGGCCTTGAGAGGTATACAGTGCTGTGGGCATCCGGGGCGACCAATTTGG